CTTAACACGAAGCCCTCCAAACTACCAATGCTTGCATTGCTGTCCTCATCTCACTTTTCCTTTCTTTTTTCTTTTTGGCTTATTATTAAAAAGAAAAACGTCTCCTCTAAACTTTTTCTTTCTGGCTTATTACTTGTTAATCAGCTGCTTCCTCCTTTTTCTAAAAATTGTGGAATAACCATTTCTTTGTTCTGGCCGGCGATCAAAGCCTCGCACTGTATATTATACTGTTGCGGATTCTCCACTTGGTGCACCACATGATCGATCTGTCTCAACCGTTACTGATCCATCAGTGTTCGTTTGATCGATCTCCATTGCACGCACCTACCTAGCAGATTGTTGCTACAATATGTCGAAGCAATTCGACAGCGAAAACAGATGAGAAGAAATGCTGGCAGGCAGAGACTGTGTCTAAAGTCCAAACCCAATTGATCTCAACCGCCATGACCAAGTGCTTCAATTCATCACCAGCACAGCACACACTACCGGTCTAGTCTACCCAGGCCAACCATAAGCCCGGATCTCAGTGCATGGCTCATCACATGCCCAAAACTACACCAACAAACAGACCTGTATGTATACATGCAATTATATGCAGACTTTTTCCTTGGAGATTAGGGGACAATGCACGAGCTATAGGGGGGGCCCTCTATCCAATAACAACTCAGGAAGTTTTTGAGCCCGGAATGCACGCAACCACATCATATATCTCGCACAGCATGCAAGCAGGACCACTACAGCTAGCCATATGATGAGCACATCATGCATATGGCAGTGAAATTTCTGTCCTGTCTAGCATATAGGTGTTTGTATCATGTAACTGTATTATAGGCGCATATGTTAACAAAGCCCTAGTTGCCCATGCTTTGGGAAAAAAAAAGGTCATTTCATCTTGTAGCTAGTTCATTGCATATATTGCTCTCGGATGTCGGTCATCTGCCGGTGATCCATACTTCTCATGGAGAGTGGTTGTCACTACCAAATCTTTCATCAGGTCGTTGGCATCAACCCACATACACACACGTGCAATTCTTTTTTTTTTCTTTTCGAAAACACGAGGAACAATTTTAATGGGTGCAGATTAATTGTTAAGGCTTCATCAGGAGATGGCTACTTCCTAACCGTTTCCTCTGTTCACATCACCACCACATATCAGCAATTCAGCATCGATCTTGCTGTCACTGACCTTTTGGATAGGGACTAGCACTAGTTGGATTCAGACATCCGAATTGCAGCTTCAAGTTGGTCAAAAGCTCTGTTTGAATGTTGTGGAATGTTCCACTTCCATATGCAGGTGCAATTTTACCTTCACATGCTGGTTTTTTCGGAAAGTCAAATTATCCATATAGCTCATTTCACGGATTCCTATTTGTAATCATTTTGTGCTAGAAGAAACCACAAAGCCGTGTAGCACAGTTCCAGCATAACTGGACAGTCTTTAGTGGCACCATGCTAAAGCTGAAGATGTGCATGGCAAAATCAAGCGGCAAACGGAAAGTAGAAGAATAGCTGCACACTCGTGTGTGTGTGCAGAATTATGCAAACAAAATCAGGCAAGCAAATACTGCCAGTGTGTACTCTGATGTTGGGTGGGTGGGTCCAATATCCCTGCTGATGACATCATAACCAACACATTTTTTTTCCTCCCAAAAATAAAAAGGCAAATATAACAACCGTTTTTATTAGGGTTCTGGGGCCCAGCACATATATCCATGCATGGACTAAGTAGTTGCTGGGCACAGCCACAGCTGCTTGCCTTTCTTGTAATGTACAGTGTTCCCCTGATGATTAGGGGGTGAGTGTGCTGATGCTTTCTTCCAGCTCTTTGCACTGTTTTTTTTCATTCAATGACTCAATCAGCAGCAGTGACCTCTCATCATCATGGCCAAGTTCGTTGGGCATGTTCTCCTTGGTGGCATCGACTGGATGTGCTGAATTTAAATTTATATTGTTTTCTTTGTACATGAGTGCTGCGGCAACTTGCATTGGCTAGTGTTTGGATCATGCTAAATTATGCCACGACAAAATGCCTTCCTTTTATCTTTGTTATGGATAGTTTCCCCTGGTAGATGGTTGATTTTGATATGAATAAAGCCTGAATTCTTTTTTTTTGGTTGCCCATCCTTTGTACTGTTATTTAGTATTAGGAGTATGAGATTCTCTCAAAGGAACAGTGCTATGAAATTATGTGGAATAATAGCACGTGAAAAGCTAGTGCCATATGGATAGAGATGGGATTAGCAATTTGTGGAATGTTACTGTAGAGAGAATCGCCATGATTCACAATTTCACAAATGGGTCTGAGAAGTCCGTCTGTATGTGATGAGGATACTGTCAAGTTGGGCGGTAGGTCAATGATAGAGGGTTACCCTACCATAATGCAAAGCCAGCGTGTATCCACTAATCTTAATCCAATGCAAATGATGGAGCATCTGATCTGACTTGCAACAATATTATTGCAATTCATCAACTTCCTACTGCTTAATGGATGCAATTAAAAAAATGTGTCGTTCTTGTGTTTTTTCATTGAAAAGATTTTTTTATTTGATTCAAGTCATCAATCATCAAAAATTCCATCCACAACACCAATAATATATCGGAAGTGCTAGCGCTCGGACGTCCGGATAGACGCCCACGTCCGGACGCCCGCACATTGCACTCCGTTTCGCGCTCCACATGGGGCCGCGTCTGCCCGAGCGACAAAGAGGGGAAGGGCGTGCGGCGTCTCCGATTCAGAAGGACCTGACCGCTGCCTCGTATGGATGCCTTGCCGGCGCCGGAAGAGATGATGCAGCAGAAGGTGGGGAGGAGAGATGCAACACCCGATCTACTTTTGAAACATCCAAATATAAATAGTGGCAACATACATGTAAAGATATTTGAAACACTTGAAACATGCTTCTAAAACACTTGAAAGAAAACACCTGAAAACACTTGAAAAATCATTGCAACATGCATCCGGAACATACCTCTGAAACATTTGAAACACTTGAAACATACTCTTGCAACATGTCTCTGAAACATATGCAACATGTGCAATATCGTCCGATTTACTTTTGCAACATCAATATGAAACAAGTGCAACATACATCTGAAACGCCTGAAACACTTGAAACATACATATGCAACATAGGGGGCGAGAGAGAGCCTGGCGCGGTGAGCGCCATGGCCGCCGGGGTGGGGGAAGCACGGTCGCTGGGGTGAGAGAGGGTGCCGCCGGGGGTGGGGAGGGCGTAGCGCCCGGGTGGGGGAGAGCCACTGACTCCCTACAACACCGCCGCGTCACCTCCAAAGGATCTCGCTCGTGCTCCATGAATCTTGCCCGTGCAGGGGAGAGAGCCGCCGAATCTGCGGGCGTTGAGGGCTCCCGGTTGGGGGGACGCCTGGGTGAGGGAGGACGCCAGGGTGGGGCGAGGGGCGCCGCCGGGGTGGGTGAGGACGCCGGCGGCGGCCAGGGAGGCAGCCATGGCCACGCGTCGGGGTAGGGGAAGGCGCGCGCCGGGGTGGGTGAGGGCGCCGCTGCAGGCCATGGATGGAGTGGGCGACGCACGCGATGGAGGTGGTGAGAGGCGAGCGAGCCAATGGATGAGTGGAGGATAAGCGCAGTGGAGATTTTTTTAATAGAGAGCGGATGAGTGGAGGAGCTGCGTCCGACACCCCGGACGTCTGGTAAGTAGCATTATGGATAATATATGTTTGTTAGGCCCTGTTTGTTTTCCTCGGGCAAAAGTTTAGCAATTTCACATCGAATATTTGGACACATGATTGGAGTATTAAATGTAGACTAATTACGAAACTAAATGCACAGATTGAGACTAATTTACGAGACGAATTTTTTAAGCCTAATTAGTCCATGATTTGATAATGTGGTGCTACAGTAAACATGTGCTAATGACAGATTAATTAGACTTAATAAATTCGTCTCACGGATTACTGAGAACTTCTGTAATTTGTTTTTTTATTACTATCCGAACACTAACGTAACATCCTCATGTGACACCCGATGTGACACCCCTAAACTTTAGCCCCTGGATTTAAACACCCCCTTACTCTGTTTGAAATTATAGTTCATTTTAGCTCTATACAAGTCATCCCTCTACCCTTGACCGAGCTTTTAGAAAAAAAATAGTATAACAAACATCTACAACTTCAAATGGATGCACCATCTAGTCATATTACATGAGAAATTAATTAAACAAAATTGATATTATAGAAGTTGATGCATTTAAACTTGATCAGAATTTGAGAAGTTTGACTTGGGACAATACTAAAATGACATATAATTTAAGATGAACAGAGTATGTAATTTTAGCACGCAAAGGTTGCGGATGCTGAGACTTTCCTCTCGAAATTTCGTTGGTACGCATAGCAGAAGTGGCATTATTCAAGCAACCCAGTTTACTGCGCCATGCAAGGGCATGTGAACGTTCAAGCAGTGGAAGAGAAGGTAGTCTCATTAGGGCATGTGTCCAAATCAGCATATGGGTTGACATTCTCCAGATGAGTATATATGAGAAAGGCATATGGTCCCTTGATCAGCATCCAAAGTGAACAAATAACTTCTATAAAGTCAATGAAACATTTGGCAATACGTAAAGATAAATCGGTAAAATAGCGCTTGCAACATACGTAGCAGTTGAAATTCTGCATTGCCACACCTACTTTATTGATACCTTAAGAAAATACCAAAAAATGGCTTTCCCCGGTTCACGTTGTTGAATTTTTAATTGATCTATCAAAAAGGTATTCTTGAATGTTTTACCAAACAATAACTAGCGTCATGGGCACAAAAGTTCCTATGACAATTCAGTGCCAAGATGATTCATCAAATATAAATAAAGCATGCTATTATTGGATCATGCATGGTGCTCGGGATACATGATCTGTAGGCCAGAACCAACATCACACACAGGCACTTGGCAGATAAGAAGAGTGTTATCCAGATCTAGCTTTGTTTCAGGAGCATGATCTTATCTGGCATAGTGTTTCAACAAATCTGATCAGTACAAGCTTCCTGAGCGGCGCTGGTTTGGATCTGGCCTGATGGGCTCCCCTGTGAAGGGATCAAACTTATAAGGTTCACCTGTGAAGGGATCAAACCTTGCTTGTTGGCGTTCTGCCGAATATTCAGCGGGTGACCTGGAGCGGAAATCTGAGCCTAAGTCCGTGTTGTACCCTGCAGCAGGCAGGAATCTCCTTTCCCTAGAAAGAACAGCTTCTTCAGCTGATCTTTCAATATTTGAACTATGCTCTTGTATGTATCTTCGATCAAGATGCTTTCCAGTGTTGTGTCTTGATTCAAACGCTAATCTTGGTTCTGGGTTCATTCTGATGTCAATTTCGTCATGTCGCAGACGTGGTTCTGGGTTTCTTACAATGGTGGATCTTTCTTCAGCATATCTTCTAATCCTTGACTGAGACACTGGTGGATCGTCTACGTAATATGTTGAAGGATGATGGCCTGAGGAATTGTATCTACTGCTCCTGCAAGGAAAATGGAGATTACCATCCGAGCTTGAATACCACAAGCACCATTTACAGTAAGCTAGCCAGAGCAGAGGAGCATAGTTTTTAAGGCGTCGCCTAGTCGTCCGAGCGGGATTCCAAATGGGGTGTCGCGGTCGCTGCGCCCTCGCGGCTGAAGGCGTCGCCTAGGCGTCGATTTCGCTGAGGCAGACGCCGCTGGACGGAAAAGCACACAGGAAAGAGCAGCGCCACGCGCTCGCGCGGGAAAAGAGCGGAGCTATGCGCGCGCGTGGGAAAAGCAGCAGCTGCGTGCCTACACCTCCCGCCAACCCAATCCCCATCGCGTCAGTTGAGAGAGGGAGAGAGAGAGGGAAAGGAAGGAGAGAGGGAGAGAGAGGAGGGCGGCGGCGCCGGCGTAGCGCAGGCGACTGCCCCTGCGCGAGTCCGGCCCGTCCGCAACCCACCTGCGCGAGCGTGACTCCGTCCCGTCCGCGACTCCAGCCCTATCCGCGACCGACTCCCGCTCCGTCCGCCGCGACCCGCGAGCAGCCCCGCGGCCGACTCCGGCCCCGTCCCCAACCGCGACTCTGCTCTGCGAGCGCGCGATTGGCAGTTAGTCCTCCCCTCCTCTTTCCTCTGCTGCTCTGCGGCTCTCCTCTTGCTCCCCCTTCTTCCTCTGCTCTTCCTCCGCCTCGTTCCCATGCTCTGCTCCTTCCTGTGCTCTACTTTGCTTTCTCTGCTCTGCTCGTTTCTCCTATTTATGTGTTACAATTTGATAGTTGGAATGGATAGCTCACAGGTGTGCTCTTCTGATGTGGTTGCCTAATTGCTGTGAATAATTAATATATGCTTGACTGTTTCTCTCTCTGACGTCTGAACTTTGCTGCATAAGAGAGGTTAATTTATTGATCTGTGTCATTGTTATATGTGCCTCTGAGGCTCTGATTGTGAATAGCAGTATGTGTATAGCGTCGCCTCGCCGCGCGCCTAATTCGCCTAGGCGTCTGGAAGGGGGTGGAGCGCCACACCTCGCCTTACCGCCTTAGAAACTATGAGAGGAGTGAGTGCAAACCTACCCGGGTGTCACAAAATCATAATCTTCATCTGGGTATCGCTTGCTATGTATTTCTGGATTTCTTGGCAAATAAGTAGTACCGTGCAATGTATGTGTTAAGCCAAAGGCCTCAGCCTGGTGCTGCAAGTCAAAACAAGACATTCAAGGAAAGAAAAGGAGAAAAGAGCAAAAAGGAAAGGTGGATGATATTGAGTGAGGTAGTACCTTAGCAATCAATGATACAAAATAATCTCCTTTATTGCGTTTATCTCCACCCGCTATCAAAAACTGCATGTGCTTCTTGGTGAGGATTAATGATAACATGGTTCAGGTAAGGGCTCAAAAATCATTTATGTAAAACAACTGAATACCTGATTAAGGACAGCAAGAGCAGATGACTCAGGAAGCTCATTGAGACTTTTTACACAATGGATGTCAATCTGAAGAAAGGAAGATGGAAAAGAACATCATGCTTCATGGTTCATACATTAAAAGGGAACAAATGGAGACCTCCCTGTACAAATCACTTACATCATATCGAGTACCAATTCCTAGACGTAGAATTCGAAGCAAGACTTCCTTGACAGCTGAAGGTAATGAATTAACAGCTGATTCATAGGGGTCAGAGGCATCAGCCGCCTAATAAGAGAGAGACACACAGAAAACATTGTCACAAACATGAACAAACACACCATCCTTTCTCCTTACTGCAATATGAAATTTATTCCATTCAACTAAGCATGCTTACCAAAAAAACATGTATTCAAATACTAGAAAACTGCTAATTCAGACGGTCAATGCTGGGATATCTGATGCTCAGTTTTGTTATATCATAAATAAGCAAGAACTCAAGCTACAAAAACTGGAAATGGCTGTGCTTCTAGCCTATTTAACCTACCCAACAGGAGAGCTTCCAGTAAAATAATTGCACTTCTAGCCTTCAAAGCCAGAGTTGAGCAGCAAACTATCATACAGAATCTGATGTCTTCATATTATATTTGTACAGAGAAGACAAATAGATCATAAGACCACCTAGAGGTAGCAGACTGATGCGCAGTTCACTTCTAAAACAACTATAGCATCCACAAAATGAAGGTGACAAATAACAAGTGAACCAAAGCTCTACTGAGTCACTGGCTAGCTAAGATGAACATTTCAAGACTTAGTAGCTCAGGTCATTTCAGATTTAATTATAGGAAGTTCTATCTTTACTCAAAAGTCAAAACTCACTTGTTAGTTTTTAACATTAAAAGGAAGAAAAAGAAAAGACAACATGTTGATTATCATACATACATAATTAGATAATCTTGGAGCTTTCACTTGACGATCAAGTGAATCATGTCCATATCTTCCATGAGAATAATCTTGCCTATCTCCTGATACATTTGATCTTCTAGTTCTCACTTCTTCACGAGATCGCTTCTTGTCATTGTCTGCCACAGGTCGAGCAACTGACACCTATTGAGAAAAAAAAACATGAGATTAATTTGTCAAATCCAAAGTAGAAAGATCAAACAAGCAGCAAGAAGCTAGTGATAATCCCAAACAGATAACATTGTTATTCATGCCTGGATCCTGAAAGACGGTCCTCGATTAGGTCCTCTCACCATTTTACCATCCATTTCTTCTATAGCATTTTCAAGCTCCTGTAATTGATAATATATAGTTTTTTTATAGCAATCAATCCAATACAGCTGTTTAAAAAATATCCAAGCACATTAAGTGCCCGAAAACATACTCTTCAGAATTATGATAAACACTTACTGAACGATTGGCGAAGTGAACAAAACCAACTGGGCCTTGTCCTCTTCTTGAGATAGCAACCCGTACTACCTGGTTGCACATCCGTCATAGTTGTTCAACATTGCATGTAATATTGGTTAGTCGAAATTGCAAAAAATGTGACAGACATCTTGGTGCACCAACCTCACCGAACTGTTCAAAAAGCTTTCTCAAGTACTCCTCATTAACATCTTCTGGCAGCTTCCCAACAAAAGCAGACTTAATCTGAGAGTACACAGAACAGAAATCACGATCAAAAGTTCTAACAGAAGATAACTATATTTATATCGAGGAAAACCCTTTTTCTACATTACCTTGGCCATTTCATCAGGATCCACATGAGACTCTTTATCAGCCCAATTTATTGCAGGATGCAAAATATCGCCAAGCATAAAATCTGTTCTTGAACCGATACGGATTACACGTGCTGCAGCCTGTGATTGATAGTTTCAGGAGGAATGAAATTAAAGGAAGCTGGCTTGAGCAGAAAGCAAAGGACCTAAGAACATCTTCACCAAGATGTTATTAGATATCTGTCTTTTCCACGCATCTCAGTGGCGAAAACTCAGATCAGTGATGACTGATGAATCAAGATCTTATCTAGATAACATACTTGTATTTTGTATGTGGCAGCTGTGATTGATATCAAATAAGATTTGCAGAGTAACATAATGGCAGATCCAAATTACTGTGGTGTAGTAATGAAGCCAAGAGAAGGGAATCAAGTATCAGCATGGGAGATATAATTTCACAGTCACAGAACACAGCTAGATTTGGGAATAAACTGAAAAACGATCAACTAGGAAATTCCTAAGAGGATCATCAAGCGACGTACGGTCGCCAAAACCCTGGTTGCCCCGTCGTTGGGTAGCTGACATAAGAGAAGCTCTCTCTGTCCAGGTTCTTACAGAATATCTCTTATGGGACTTGATGGAAGGTTTCTCGCTGCAGCAGAATGATGCCAATCAGCATTGTTTGGAGGCTTACTAGGAATGGTTCTTACTCTAGCAAAGTCGGCCTGCAATGCCTTTTTCCTTGGTTCCATCCGCTTTGCTCCTTGGAAACGAATTTGGAAATATTGGGCTCCTCTTCGCTGCAAGTTCTTCATTTGGCTTGCATTAAAGAACTGTTCTTGAATGGCGGACCGGCTCACTAAAAGAGGACTCCCCACCCGGCTACTTGGCCCTTCTGTAATCAAGAGGAGGAGACCATACAACACCTATTGGTTTCATGTGTTTTCGCCTGGCAAATCTGGTTCATCATTTTGCAGATTGCAGAAAATTGGATTGGCCTCCATTGCACCCCAACCATCAACTCATAGATTCTAAAGATGGTGGTATCAGGCACTAGCAGTTAAAGAGGTAACAATGGACAAAAAAAGGGGTTCAATTCACTGGCAATATTGGTGGCTTGGGAAATCTGGAAGTACAGGGCGACTGTGTTTTTAATGGCTCTACTCCAAGCATTACAACGGTGTTGCAAGCAGTCACTTATGAGTGCATCCTTTGGTGCTCAGCCGGAGCAAAGGATCTCCTGGAGCTTCTTGGAAGGCCTTTGGGAGGGGCTCAGGCAATAGTGTGGTAGTTCTGGTCATGTTGCTTTTGGCTTTTGGTCTTTACTTTCAGTATGCCCTAGTTTTCTAGAGTGTTGCGGGTGTTTGACTGTGTGAGTGTTGTTTGGTATTTCTTCCTGTTTCAGACCTTTCTTCTTAATGAAATGATATGCTGGCTCTAATGTCTGTTCAAGAGAAAAAAAAAAGAGGGGGGGGGGGTAGTGTTATATAGTCTACTTTTACTTGAATTAAAGAAATATATAGGCAAGTCAAAGAATGCCAAATAATTTCTTCTAAATATAATGAAGCGCAATTCTCCTGCGCTTTTTAGGGGAAAAAAAAGAATGCCAAATAATAACAGATGCCAACACAAGCAACAGAAGAAGCTGCCAAGTAACAGTGGTGCTTCAATCATCGGTAACCTTCAGGTCTTCATAACTGAACTGTTAAACTTCATTGCAGCCATTAATTTAATGTAAGCTCTTATTTGACTCTTGGTCTGAGAGAGAGAAAGAGGAACTGCAAGGAAACTTTCTACATCACATGGAAGTAGATGACTAATGAGATATATGTTGATTTCCCCATCCGTGTTTCTAAATGTCCTACATATGGATTTTGGGTTTTGCTGTTGCTAAAAACTCAGGCTAGATGGTGATGGAGCTAGTCACTTTTTTGGGCGGATAGATGGCTTCATGATCGATGTATTGCTGATATTGCCCCACATTTGTTTGCTCTCATTCCTAAGAGATGAGCAAATAAACGCACTGTCCTGGAAGGCCTCACAAACAAGACTTGGATCTTGGATCTGCAAGGTGCACTTTGTCTAATGTTGAATTCCTTGAGCTCTGCGACACTCTGTCTAATGTGGAACTACAGTCTGGTGTGGAAGATTCTCATATTTGGAAACTCAGCTCAAGTGGACAGTATACAGCAAAATTGGCATATAGGGGTTTATTCTAGGGATCAGTGAGACTATTCTCTTGGGAGGGGATCTGGAAGACTTGGGCACTGGCCAAATGTCGCTTCTTCATGTGGCTTGTCGCACACAATAGATGCTGGACAGCAGATAGGCTAGCAAGGCGGGGTCTTGACCATCCCTCTCGTTGCCTTCTTTGTGACCAAGATGCTGAGACTATAAATCACCTTCTGGTAGACTGTTTTTGCACGAGATTTTTGGTTTGGCCAGCTGCAGAAGGTTGGCATGCGAAGCATCTCGCCCCAGACAGGTGAAACATCCTTTGGGGCCTGGTGGGACAGAGCTAGCAGGGCTGGTGGTGGACTGGCAAGAGAAGGCTTGAACTCTATTGTCATTTTAGGAGCTTGGACACTCTGGAATCATAGAAATCACTGTGCATTCGATGGAGTTTCACCAAATCTAAATAGAGTTTTAACTCTTGCTTCCGATGAGTTGAGGTTCTGGGGGACTGCAGGTGCCAGGGGTATATCTTACCTGACTGGCCTGCTGCCCGAATGATTGTTTTTGTAGGTCAGGGGTCATTGTAAACTGTTCTCAAGGCGATTAGTTTTCTCTTAGAGTCCAAGGCGTGAGTGTGTGGTGTTGTATGGGGTTTCTTTCCCCCTTTTTATTCTTCTTAATATAATGATACGCAGTTCTCCTGTGTTCGAGAAAAAAAACTCAGGCTAAACTTTGGAACTACATTACCTCTGCAGCATTATGTGTTTTCAACACAGCTTCTCACAGGTCTCTAGAGAACAAAGGTCATCCAGATAAACAAATGATAATAAAGGCCGATGATTCCATGTAGTTAATTACTAGTGGGCATGGAATACAGTTTGTGATGCAGATCAGAAAAGGCAAGCATGCAAGTATTCCTTTGGCTTGGCTAACCAATCATCATCCTTCCAGACAGTGTTTCATCAGATATAGCGCAGACACGCGGCATCACGGGATCCAGGCAGGTGGCGCGATCTGCGGGAGCGGGGAAGACGAACAATGGCGCAGATCTCGCGGGGCTTGAGGAGGAGGGTGGTGCGGTTGAAGACTTCTTCGGCCAGCTGTGGTTCATCCCCTCCGACTCCCCCTCCCCTGGCGGCCAGGTTAGGGTTCGACACCATGGTTTGCACCGTGATGGGGGAGACCTAGTCTGGATCCGCAAGGATCTCTGGGAGTCCAGAAATTTCGAAGTCAGTGATTGTTTCCCGGTTGGAGCTAGAGATTGCTGGTTTGGTTCTCCGAAGAAATTCAGTTTTGCATCTGATTTTTGGGGGAAAGGAGTCAAGGATTTGTTCGTGTCGAAGTTGAAAGGGGTGATGGCCAATCGTGGTAGGGGTGGGAGAGCTCCACAGAGGCCGAGAAGTCCTGAGGAAGATTGGGGCTGGGGTGAGGGAGGCTGGTACCAGAACCCGCCTCCGTTCTACCAGCCGCCGATGGGTCTACCTCCGATGGTGCCGTTTCCTCCACCGCAATCAGGTCCGTTCGGATTCTTCCCAAATCAACTTCACAATCAGCAGTACTACAACCAGGGGCAATATTCTGGGCAGAATCAGTTCAATGCTTTTGGGCAGAGAGGTCAGGGTCCTCGTCCTGGTGGTAGAGGGGCTCCAGGTAATCGAGGGAGGTTTCAGCAGGGCCAGCAACAAGGCCGTCAGCAACCTCAGCAACCTCAACAATCACAGCCACAACAACAACCAAAAGCTTTGGACAATCAGGCAAATACACAGGAACAAAATCCTACTACTCATCTTGTTTGGGACTTAAAGGCTTTGTTGTTGTAAAATCCTACTACTCATCGAGAGGTAGATCAGAATACTGCTCAGGTGATAGAGGGTGATAAGTCTGGAAGTAACAGGGCGTCTCAAGTGGTTTGTTACAACTGTGAGGAACCAGGACACTTTGTTTCCACTTGTTCCAAACCCAAAGTCTGTTTTGTGTGTTTTCATCAGGATCACATAGCTGAGAAGTGACCCAGGTGGAGTGAGCCTGAACAAGTGGTGCAGTTTATGGGTAGTGCTTGTAAGGGCCTGGGATTCTTCCATGTGAATGTATCTCAAGATGAAGATAGGTTTAAGTTGTGGACTGGATATGATAACTGCGGAGTTTTCACAACAGAAGAAGGTGAGTGGACCAGGAGACTATTCTGAAGTATCTTAGGGAATTATTTGATGCAGATTGGCCCTGGCAATTAAGGAGCATGGATGAGTTCAGTTATCTGGTGAGATTTCCTCCGGGCAGCGAGTGGACAGGATAGTGATCAACAAGATTTCATACTTCTACTTAGAGAAAGGTACAGTGATGGCTTCTTTTTAAAGGTGTGGAATGGAAATATTGAGCCAGTGAGTAGCTTGACTGAGGTTTGGGTGCAAGTCAGGGGCATTCCTCCTAAATGGTGCGATTGGGTCACTTTCAGGCAAGTTGCTTCTACAATTGGGAAATTGGTGGAGGTGGACTGGCAATCTCTTTTTGCTAGTTTCTTTGCAATGGTGAGAGTTAAAGTGAAATGCAGAGACCCAGTTAAAATTCCCCAAAAGAGGGTCATGGAAATGAAGGATGAGCTTTTTGTGAAAAGCTTCAAAACAGAAGGCTTTGAGCAGATATCTGAGAAGACTGGGAAGGATGGAGATGATGGTGGTGATGATGGTGATGGTGATACAGATTTGGATGAGGATGACCTGCTATCTGATGAAGAGAAAGAGAAGGAGGGTGACCCTACCAGTCCTAAAAATGACAAACCCTCTGATTCTGCAAATCAAGGGAAGAAAGTAGGCGAACCTCTGGATAAGCAATCTAAGCAGTCTATGCCGAGTGGGAGTAAGACAGTAAGAAACCTTAGTCAGCTCTTTGCGGTGGAGATGCTAGATAATGATGTCAATAGAGAAGCAATGGAATCTTCATGCATCAGTCTCCTAAAAGCTATGGAAATA